CACGGCGGACCCCAGCCTGCCTCTCCCCGGCCGCTTGCTCCCCGATCTCCGCTCGGCAACGTGTGCGTGTGTGCATGTGTGTGTGCCAGAGGAGGGGAGTGAAGAAGCAAGTGAGGCGGCAGGGGCAGAGAAGGGAGCTTGCTTCGCGCACCGCTGTCAGAAGCAGAGCGTACGAGCAGCGCGGCGGCTGCTGTGCGATTTAAGGGGCTTTGTTCACTGCACTCCTGAAAGGCAGCTATGACACCTTACTGCTGCCTCTGTATGTTCTTGCTTGTTGGAGCAAAGGGTAAGTAGACGTGGTGTGCGGGTTTTTTCTTTGTTTTGGGGCATTTTTTGAACTAATAGATTGCAAAGCAGATGGCTAACAAACTTCAGTGGCAGATTTTTAAAACTGGAATGCATATGATTTCTCGGTGTTGTTTTGCAGTTCTTCACCACATGGTCTTTGATAGAATCTAAGTGCAATGCAGTCTCTGAAGGTTACTAGTTGCATACAAGGATCAAATATTTTTGTATCTGCTGCTCTGAGAGTTACTAAGTGAGCTAATGAGCTGAAATTTCAAAAATAAGCAACAGTTTAAACATTGCATAAATAATTGCTGTAAATATTTGATGAAGGTGCTTACAGAACTGACTCATTTCAGAAACCTTGAAATCCACATTTTAGATTTAATTCGGTAGTTTGAACCGATACAATGCAGTGCTATTAGAATTGGTAGTTCTTTTTGAAAAGTAGATTTGCTTCAGGTATCAAGAATTTTTACCTTTGATTCAGCCTGATAAGCAGTGTAGTATGCAAGATGGAGATTGAGTTAAATTTAAGTTTTCCTTCAGATGCAAATCATTTTAATATGGTGGGATTTTTACCTGACTTTCTGTTCAGTAATGTTTTCTTCATTCCACTTGAATATTCTGTTTTTAAGTGCTGCATTCTGTTTGGGTACAGTTCTCCCCATAGAACTGCTAACAGTGATCTGCACACTGGATTTTCCTAAAGATTATCATTTTCAAGTAGCACTTTTTATACCAAAAAATACAACTATTGTTGTACTACGTAACTAAAATCATTTTTTAGTAATTTTTCCAGATGAAATAGTTTAACAAAATAGTTGATATTACAAAGGGTCACTAGTAAGTAAGGGCGTAAGGTTGAAGTCTGCTACCTTCCGTTGTATTCAACCACAGCTTGCTCTCAGTTGCTTTTGAATTAAACCTTTTTGGAATTACCTGTGCATAATACACTACTTAACGTAAGATTTATACGGGATGCTGCCTTCACTATCAGTCTGGGAAATAGACCCTCACTTTCGGTTACTCTTATGGTTGCAAAGCTCCATTAAATCTGTGAACAACTCTAAGTAGTTCTGTTATGTTCTGGAGAAATGCATAATATGTGAGCTGCAAACATGAAAAAACTGATACTAACATATTTAGAATTAAACAGACCATGATAATGAGATCTTTACTAACCTGTGAGCAAAGTATGGTTTCATACGCATCTGTATTATCCATGAGCAGTAATCCAATATTTAAAGGTAATGCTTGGAGGTATGCAGAATAAAAGCTTAAGGATTTCAAACAAATAAAGGTTCTTACATTACTATTTGCCATATCAAAACAGGAAAATATTGACACATTCATGCAAGATGTAATTGTTCAAATCATTGTTGGCATAATTTTTGCTAAATTAAATTAATCTCAGCTGTAGAATTTATAAAAGCTATTGAAATATGTTAAGGCATACTGCAAGACAGGATTGCAGGTGAGGACTCTGAATGACTACTAATGACTTCTAATAGTTAAGATGACAAGTACCTTTTGAGGTATTTATTGGCTTATCACATAGCATATTAAAACATTTATAAGGAAACCACATGGCTCATCCAGATTTGTTAATCTGTGACTCCACTGCTTCTCTCTTTAAAGCGTGAGTGTGCCTGGAGTCTCTGCTACCTGTCAGTGCCCTATTTTGCAACAAAATTAGTTCTCCTTTAGTGACCTCCTAACCTCACTTAATGCACAATTCATAGTTTCACTGCCTTCTCAAGTTTTAGCCAACAATCTGAATTGCCACCACATTTACAAGTCTGCTGATTTCATCCACGGAGTAGATATAAACCTTGCTCAACTCTTTAGACCAGCTGATATTACAACAAACACACCTGCAGTAAGTATAGCTGTGCTTGGAATCTGAATTTGTGATTTGTGGGCAGCTAGAAGTTTGTTTATGAAGATCGTTCTTCTCTAAATTTCTACAGCTCCCAGATGCTCCTGAATCTTTAAAAAATAAAAACAGAAACATCTATCTGACAAAAATTCGTCTTACCTGACTCATCCGTTTCCACTCAATCTATGTCTGCGTAGAGCTTCCCATTGAACAGCTAAAATTACACACAAAACCTTACTGTTTTGCTTTACCCTCCTCCTCTGAAGTCTTTATTGAATCTTTTCCTATGAAAATGAGCTCTTACCCAAACAGCTACATTGATCCCTTCCCTTCCTCATAAAAAATAATAATAATAAAAGCAAATAAGCAAGCAAGTAGTGGAAAAGCAGCTTATTATGGCTGACTGCTTTCCCATGTGGAATATGCTATGAAAGTAGAGGATTTCTCAATGACAAAGCAGCATCTATACCAGAGCTCTTGTCAGCACAGCAGTATCAACTGGTAAGATCACAAAAAGTAAACTTCAGTCTCTCAAATTCTGGACTTGAGAGCACTGAATCAGTGGTTAGGGCACGCATCTGCAAGGCTGGTGGCAAAGTCCCCTTGAGAAGCTAGGCACGTAGCTGGCACTGCACTGGGTCCTGCCACATCTTCTCCATTAGTAAAACAGCGCTCGCTAATTGCTGCAGTGACCACGGTGCAGATGTATCTCTTCAGAGTCACTTTGGTTTGCTTTCTGGGAGCAGATACTGCTTTGTCCTCCTAGACTTTGGCTGTTAAGTGACAGACCCACAAACTCTTTGTCTATCAACCACTAACAAAATAGAGGAACCTTAGTATCTGAAAGTATTCAAAGTGAATAACAAAAGGAATTTGACAGGCTCCTCATGGGAAAACAGTTGCAGCTACTATTTTAACCCTGTGTCTATCTGTATGCTCTGTGCCCCTACCTGAACTTTTCTGATCCTATTTCTGCTTGTGCCTAGAGTTTCTCTTCCCTCTCCTCTTCCTGTTCTTCCTCTCTTTTTTTTTTTTTGATTCTTCCCCTATCCTCTCTACGAAACCAAAAAGAAAAGTTATTTAAAACTGTCTGCAGCTTGTTAGCCCTTTTTGTGTTTCATGCACATATGACAGCTGTTTTCAAGGCCAGGGTCTTTTATATTTGACAGAATGCATTTGGTATAATTAGATTTCCAAATGCAGGAAACAAACCATCTCGAATTATCTGTAGAAACCTAAGTTCTTGATTATGCAGGATTGTGCTCTTGTTCACATCACTTGTAACAAATGTCAAACCCCTTCCAGATTTTTAAATAGGAAAGTGAAGTATTTACTTCAGCCTTTCGTAAAGCTCAAAAAAACAGCTTTGTAATAATAATTTTTTGTTATTTTCTCTTTGATTTTATTTAACTTGGGTATCAACCTAATAGGCTTCTTTATGGCCAGAAGAAAAATGTATATCTTGTATCTCTCTATAAATAGTGAAAATGAGCATCTTTACAGAAATCAGAGACAAAGATTAGATTTCCAGAGGAAAACTTCCTCCAACTTTTAATTAGAGGCAAAGGTCTATACAATGACAAATTCAAGCTCTAAAAGTTAGAATAGTATTATCTGTACAGGCTGGCCTACCTGGAACTACTGTATGAGTAAGTTTGCTCTTCTCACCTCTTCGTTAATAATACTTAGTGCTTACCAACTTACAGCTCTACTAGACTTTAACCATTTGCTCTGAAATGTTACATGCAATGTGAACTTTTTTAGGGGGAGCCTTGAGCAAAAGGGCTGTGTGAAAGGGAGCCAGCAAGGAACAATGAATTAATTGAAGAAGGAAGACTGGAAATTATGTCAAGTGGGACAGGTGCAAGGAAGGGAAGCTCTAAGAGAAGAAGCTAAGGCTGCCTAAAGGTCAGTAGATGCTGAGACCAGAACTAGGAACCCATGCTGAAAGGAGGAGATGAGAGGATGGGAAACGGGTAGTGATTAGACAAGAAAAACAGAAGTGGGATAAGGAGCCAGGGTGAGGTAGAGATGAGTCTTTGAACAGAAAGAGGAACTGAGCTTGGCAGCTCAAATGCTCCAAAGTCTGGTATGAAGCCCAAGATTATCTTATTGTTTACTGTCCCGTTGCAAAGTGCCTCCTCCTCCTGCGTTATATACCTCTATTCAGAAGACATTGCTATGAAATCACTCCATTCCCTCTAGCTTCGAAGGTCTGTAAAGCTGAAGTGATGTAGCATGATGTCATGTTACGAAATGTTGGAAAAAAAATTATTTTCTCTTTTAATGGTCTAGGATATTGCCTGTATCAAAGAGCATTACCATTTTGCAAACTCGGTGATTAAGAACCAAGATGGACTGTGGAACCTTCATTTGGCGTATGTGCATGTAGTACTTTTTTTTCATGCTATAGCTCCACAAGAACCTCTGCTTCATGGACTAGACTCTAAGAATGAGTCAGAAATGTGTAGTGAATTATGCTTAATTCACTGCAGAAGAGGAAGATAAATTGTGCATGAGGGATTACAAAATGATGGCCATGTGATGCAGGCAACCAAACTCTGCCTTGGGAAGCTGAATTCTGTTCCTGTCTCTTGCCCCAGTTAGTGATGCTCTGAATATTTCAAAAGTGGATAATAATTTTATGGTGGGTTTTCTAGTTGTTCGGCTTGATAATCCTGATACAGCAGCGTTGATTTTCACAGCTGCCACTGAAATCTGTGAAAGCTGTGACTATAATCAGTAATCTGTAAAGCTGATTCTGAAAGTAGGAACCTAAAATTATCAGAAACACTTGCCATACATTTGTCAGTGTTTCAGCTTCCCATCTGAGCAACAATGTCATATTCCAAGCTTTAATCTAAAGCAATCTGTGATGACTTGAAAACGGGAAGTCTAATTATTGTAGCTGTACAACTAAAAAAAAATGAGGAATTTGATGTGTTAACTTCTAAGTGGTTAGTAGACTAATCAGCAGGATGTCAGTAATCCATCAGAAGACTGGTCAAAGTCTAACACCTGTAGTACTATATGGAGGGCCATTTACAGAAATGTCACAGTATGAAATTTAAAAATATGGGACAGAGTTCAAAGTATGCTGCTAATAACTGGTCTGCTTA